TCTCTCTCACCACCACACACACACCCTCTCCTCCTCTCTTCACCACCACCACCACCTCCTCTTCTCTCTCTCCTCCTCTCCTCTTCCACCACCACCACCACCATCACCCTGTCCTCCTCCTCTTCCACCACCACCACCACCACCCTCTCCTCCTCCTCTTCCACCACCACCACCACCACCACCACCACCACCACCTTCTCCTCCTCCTCCTCCTCCTCCTCCCTCTTACCTTGTGTTCGTTGTCGATGTACTTGGATCGCAGGGTACCTATGGAGGGGAAGTACATCCCCACCCCCACCTGCTCCTCTCAGTCTCAGCCCTACCACTCCTCCCTCAGACCTCGAACAGGAGGAAGCAGCCGGCCAGGACGTGCATGGCGAATGCTGCGACGATATCAGCGATGAGGTAGAAGAGGAGATGAGCAGAGGAGAGCAGAGGAGGAGGTAAGAGAACGAGAAGGGGAGGAGGGGAGGAAAGAGGAGGACGAGAGCAGTGAAGGGAAGAGCAGGAAGCAGGAGGAGGAGCAGGAGAACAGTGAATGGGAGAGGAGGAGCAGGAGGAGGAGCAGGAGGAGGAGGAGGGAAGGGTGAGAGAAGGAGGGAAGGGCAGGAGGACGAAGAGGAGGAGGAACTTACAAGCGTCGGGAAGATGGTGCATGATATGACCCGCGAGAGCGAGGGCGATGCTGCTGCATCCCAACATGCCTGGAGGAGACGCGTAACGGGGAGGAGTAAGACTAGGATCAGCGGTGAAGGACGAAGGAGCGAGAGTTTGCGAGCAGAGAAGATGGTGGGTAGAAGGAGAGAGTGAAGGTTGTAGGAGGAGGAGGATGAGGAGACGGGGGAGGGAGGAAGGAGGAAGTAGGAGGAGGGAGAAAGACGAGGGGAGAAGGAAGGAGCAAGGAGGAACGAGGAAGGGACCGATCATGATGGTTTCAATCATCATTGATGTCTTCATAAGGATGCCGAAGAGACTGAGCGATGTCAAACTAAGTCAACTCATCGCCTCCTCATTACCTGGAGCCGATCATGCAGGCTGTCATCAGACACGCAAAGATGGTCCCGTAGGGAGGAGAAGAAGACATCACACGTGCCATCGCTGCTCCAATGTTACCACTCCTCACTCCTCACTCCTCCCCTCTCCTCCTTCCTTATCTCCTCCTCCTCCTCCTCTTCCTCCTCCTCTTTGTTCTCCTCGTCCTTCTCGTCCTCCATGTCCACCACCACCTCCTCTATGTCCACATCCTTCTCCTCTATGTCTACCTCCTCCTCCTCCTCCTCCTCCTCGTCCCCCTCCACTCTGTCCTCCTCGTCCTCTCCTCCTTATCTTCTTTCCCTCCGCATTCCCTCCTCATACTTGCCCCCTCCCCCTTCTTCGCTTTCTCTTACTCTTGTCACCTGGTGGCCATTGCAATACAAAGATGTACATAGCGCCTTCAAACAAGGACTGAATCAAACCGGTCAACAAGATCTTCCTGTCATCTGAAGTAGAAAATCAATACAACCATCGCTGTCATCATCATCATCATCGTCATCGTCATCGTCATCATCGTCGTCATCATCATCATCATCGTCATTATGATTCACCGAGGATGATTCTCATCGCATCTCTCAGGCTAGTGAAGATGTTCTTCTTGCTCGCGCTGACTTTTTGGTTTCCTCCATAGTTCTCACCCCAGCTCAGCCCGACCTGAAACTTCTCAGCTCATAGCAGTGGGTTTGGGCGGCAGTGAGTCACCAGCGCTGTTCCCAGGGAGAGGAAGAGAACTGAAAGCTCGAAGGGACCCGAAGGACCTGCAAAAATATTCAATCCTTCCTCCTCTCCGTCCCCGTCCTCCTCCTCCTGCTTGTCCTTGTCCTTGCCCCTCCTCGTCGTCCCCCTCCATTGTCTTCTTCTCCTTCTCCTCTTCCTCCTTCTCAACCTCAACCTCCTCTTACCGGAAAGCCAGGATCCCTTACCACCCTGCACATTCAGCAAGTCATGTTCAACTTCTCCTCCTGCCCTCCCCCTCTCCCCCTCTCCCCCTCTCCCACCCCCTCCCTCTCCCCCTCCCTCTCCGCCAACCC